CATGCAGATGTCTGGCACATGTGTATGAATTTCCATCAATATATATTTTCATATGTGGTGTATAAAAAACCAAATACATGGACCAAAATGGACTTACCTTTTGTTGTTGTTAGGCCACAAAAAAAATTTAGTCCACAAATCAACATATATTATTTAATACTCCCTCCGTCCCGAAATACTTGTCGGAGAAATGGATGAACCTAGACGTATTTTAGTTATAGATACATCCAATTTTATCCATTTCCCCGACAAGTATTTCAGGACGGAGGGAGTAGCATTTTACAGATACATAGAAAAAACAGAATATTTTTTAACTTGTAAATATCTTTTTGATTTTTTTTATTCCAGGATCATAGAGCATGGGGGGCAAAATAATGCTCTCAGTACCAGCCCAAACAATTTTAGTCGAACCAGAACAACAATCAACATAATGTACCAAATTCCGCCCTTGTTTAGTTTCAGTCAATGATCTAGTTCATCTCAACATACGTCAACAGGTCATGCATCATTCACTCAACCTTATTGGTCTAGTAATTGTTCTAGCTTTTTTGAACACAATTGTTCTCCTAGCTGGAAAAAAAGTCATACATTCATCCGCGGACGGATAGGGAGTCTGTTTTGCGGCACCGCGTTGGATATGCCCTGAAAGGTTATACTCAAAAGTGCACTGACTAGAGACGATTGCAATAATCAGGATTCAGGATGCGGGCAAAGCGAGTTTCAGGGTAAGCCATGGGAGTATCTGAATTCGGGGTGAAATGCCATTACAGTTGTAAATCAGTAAAAACTCAGAACACTGCGATATTACAGAACATGAATCCCCGTCCTTCACACCAGGCAGCCGTACACACGCCCTGAAGAACATCCCTTGTGTTGTGGTTATATAATAGCATCAACACAATTTGCCATCAACCCCGGCCACCAAGCCCACAGTGCAGGAGCTCAGATCTTTGCGGATCAGTCCTTCCTCCTGGAGCATCTTGACCATGCTGGCCGACGCGGACTACAGCGAAAACTCTCCCAAGACAGACTACTCCAAAGCAACAATCTCAAATGTGTAAACAGATCAGCGAAACTTATCGACTTACCATACCAGCTATGGCCTATGAGGAGCTTCAGCTCACACCATCAGCATCGACATAGTCAGAGTGTCAATTCTCAGGCAGCCGAGTTTCAAATAAGCCCAAAGATTTAGTACAAGTCAAAACTCAAAAACATAGCAACCATAATGAACAAAACGCATCAAATTCAGCACTCACATTGGTTGTCAAACCGAACTTGGTGGATGATCTGTTCCATCTCAATTTACTGTAGCAGGTAATGCAGTACTCATAAAATGATTACATTTATTAAATTCTAACTGATCTAGCTGAAGAAAATGCTAAGAGACAAATTCCTGGTTCACAGAAGCAAAAGGCCGACAATGGAAAAGGTTGAGATTTATGTATGATGGACAGCGCACCCTCACCCATGCAGTGACTGCAAAACTGCAATGGTGATTAGGTGAATATATAAACCTGTAACATTGAGTTTTTCATGTTCAAGTAATAAAATCAACGAGCCAACAATCTTTCTCACAACTCTAGTAACCGATGTATGATGCACTTAAACCATGATGAAACATTGCGGAGTATCTTCAGAATTCAGGTGCTAGCAGAGCGAGTTGCAGAGTACACATCAGGAGTATCCGAATGCGGTAATAAGAATGAAACATTGCTGCCATTTAGATGGTTAGTGAAGATTCAAAACATGTGAACCTACAGCAGGATCCTTCATACCGCAACATCAGTTGGCAGTTTCCCTTGGCAAGCAGCTGCGTAGGCTTCAGCAAGGCCTGGAAGAACATGCCTATGAGCATCTATATGCCTGCGCTGAAACGTCTTCTCACTAGGCGTGATCATCGTGTAGAAGCTCTGATCTTTCTGAATCAATCCTTTCTCCTGGAGCGCCTTCATCACATAATGCCGAGGAACCAGTCGGCACTTCAGGCTGTACATCAGGATTGAGGGCCTGGTAAGGATGTACCTAGTGTCAACACCGACCACCTTGGTCAGGAACTCCTTAGCACGGCGAAGCTTCTCCCCAGAGATCCTCAGCAGCGTTGGGTTTATCCTCACCACGTTGGTCACCTCAGCCTCAGACCACCCAAGAATCTCCTCGAAGAGCTTGAGCTTGGCTGCCATCGTCTCGGCCCCAAGGCCCGTCGTCGTGGTCACTGCCTGCTTGAACATAAGCGAACCGCGAGGCACGCCGAGCTTATCTGCACGCTCCAGGATGGACATCACGGTCTTGGGGCTGCTGGTGAGCAATCTCGAGTTTGGCACGCACATCTTGGCAATATCGTCGGCACTTACCCCACTCTCCAGTAGCACCGCGATGTTGGGCTTGACCACACGCTCGAGGTCCGACGTGAGGAGGTAGTAGTTGCGCTTGAGGATGCGGATGAACTTCTCCGGCGAACCCAGGAAGTGCAACCAGAACCCGAGCTTCTCCTGGATGCTGATGGAGCGGAAGACGCCAGGGGCCATGCGGAGGAAGGACCGGACGTGGTCCTCGGAGAGGCCATAGCCGCGAAAGGTGGCGACGCGGGCCTTGAGGGTGTTGTCGACGCTGCAGTTGAGGATCCGCGGGTCGCGGGCGACGACGTGGGCGATGTCGGCCTTGGAGAAGCGGAAGGTGGGGCCGGCGAGGTAGGCGAGGATGGAGTCGGCGTTGGAGGTGGACTTACAGTGGGAGACGTGCTTGGCGGCCTTGAGGGCTTGCTCCGGTGTGAGGCCGCAGGTGGTGACGAGGTAGTTGTCGACGGCGAATGGGGCCGGCGGGGCGTCGGTGGCCGCCGAGGTGGATAAGAGGGCCCGACGGAGAGAGAAGATCACGGGTGAAGCTGGGAGACGGAGCGAGAACAGTTGCTTGTGGAAGAGAAGCATCGCAGCGGCGGCGGCGGCGGCGGCGGCGGAGTATGTATTGCAGGAGAGTCCGCCGCTCCGTCTTTGACCTCTCGTGGCCTCGCAGCAACACTACTTTAATCCTACAAGTTGTTGGGCCCGATTGGGAACACGAAAACTCTAGTCCAGTTCACTCTTGGGCCTAAAATGACACCACTTTATTCCTACAAGTTTGTTGCTCTCCTACCACCACTCAAAAAAAAGTTGTTGTTCTCCTACAAGGGGAATTCATCAAGGAGATCGAATCTCTTCATATCTTTTCTTGTTGATAGCAGAGGGCCTTTCGTGTCTCTTAAAAGGTAAGAATCGGGCTTCGATGGTCAGTGAAATTAAAAGTGACGGAATCGGCACCACCGATAAGCCATCGGAAATACTAACGCCCACACGTGTGGGCGTTTGCATCTCGTCCACACGCGTGGATCCGCATCCGTTTATGGGTGCACGAATCTTGACATGTTTGTGGTGCCGCGTAGGACTGGATTGATGTGTGGGCATTCACGGTCGCCCACACGTCCGTTTCACCACACGGAGGGGTAGGTGTGTGGGCGTTTAGCAGTTCGCCCACATGTCAGTTTTCACTCACGTACAGGGGCTGATGTTGTGGGCATTTATCAGTTCGCCACATGCCTGTCTCCTCTCCCACACCCAAAGATGTCACTTGCCATGTGTTTTGCAGGTGTCGGATCACGGGTTCCGACAAAACCCTTAAGGTTCGAACGTTGTGGTGCGCGTGAAGATCTCCCCCTACCGATCCGCGTCCTAACTCAGCTAAGATCTTACGAACTAACTTGACGAACTCGCAACACAAAGGACACAAGGTTTATACTGGTTCGGGCCACCGTTATGGTGTAATACCCTACTCCAGTGTGGTGGTGGATTGCCTCCCGGGCTGGGGATGAACAGTACAGGGGGGAGAATAGCCTCCTGAGGTTGAGGTGTTCTTGTGCTTGGCGAATTTGTGTGTGTTCTGGTCTCTCTCTATCTGACCCTTTGGCTGCCTTTTTTTCTCCCTTAGCTATGGTGGTGGCTAGTCCTATTTATAGAGGCCCTGATCCTTTCCCCAAATATTGAGCGGGAAGGGAGCCAACAACGGCCAATTTGAAAGGGGATAGCTAGTACAGCTTATCCTGACAAAAGTGGTCTTCGCCTGCCAAAGGCTCTGGTGGTGACGCCATCTTGTGCTCCACGGTGACCTCCGTCTTGCCGTCCTGCTGGTCTTGGTCTTATTGCACCAATATGGAAACTTTTGCTTGATGCCTTGGTACTCCGTGCCTGCGCTTGCCCCCTTAGCACCAAAGAGGAAATAAGGATGCTGCACGCGCTGGCGCCCGCCTGGCCTTGGTCGTCATGGCTCACGTCACGAGAACCTCGTGAGGTTTGCCGACCTTGAACTCTCTGCCCCTCGTGAGCCAGCCTGGTGAGGCCGCTCCTGAGGAGGTCTTGTGTCGTCCGCCTCGCGAGGGTCTTGAATGCCTTGTTGATAAAGATGGGTCGTGCAGGCCTGCTAGCAAACCCACGCCGTGGGCCACAGGCAGGCAAGTCTGAGGACCCCTGTTCCCAAAACGCCGACAGTAGCCCCCGGGCCCAAGGCGCGCTCGAGCTTGGCTTCGAGGCGAAGCCAAAGGTCAAGAGCGGAGCGCCGCGGGCCCCAATAGCCTGTGGCCTTGGTCGACGCATGGCGGTTGATTGGACGTGGGCGTCTCTGCTTTCCCACGCTGCCTTGATACCCGCCTGGCTAGACGGCCACCGCGGTCTATACGATTATTCTTCCATCGCTTGCACCATTCTCCTCCAATTCCTCTGCTTCCTCCCGGACTCTGCTCCTCTTTCCAATCTGACCTTAGCTCCGCTCGCCCCATCGCCATGGCGCCGACGCAAGTGGACAAGGGGAAGAAGCCTCTGTCTTCGGCTAGTGCGCTCCCGGCCGCCGAGCCCGCAGTTGGACGATCGCTGGTGCTCAACGATGAGGCCATGGGCAAGGTGCGTCCCATGCTCACCTCCAGCTTCAATGAGTGGGGAAAGACAGTGGTTTGGCCTGCATCTCGCGCTCGCATTGACCGAGCGGCCACTGAGGTCCCCTTCTTCATCAATGCCCTTTGGGCTAGCTTGGTCCCTCCTTTCTCCGCCTTCCTCAACGCAGTGCTTTTCCATTATCAGATCCACATGCTGCACCGTGATCCCCAATCTGTGACCCTTCTTGCCTCACCTTCATTTGCGAGGCCATGGTAGGCATTGCTGCCTCTGTGGCTCTTCTCCGCCACTTCTTCTCGTTGCACCTGAGTGATCCTCGGCAGAGCTCCGGATGCCTGAGCTTTCAAGCCGTGGCGGCGACGGCTGGTGACTGGATCGACTTCGAACTTCCACCATCCACGAGCGAGTTTTGGTGGGTGTTTGTTGATGCCGGAGTGCTCAGCCCCATGCTCTCCTCTCCGTCTAGGCCCGTCATTCCTAACTCCGGTTGGTGCCACAGAAGGCTCGCCGATCCACGCCTTGTCCCCGTCTGGCTCAGGTTGAGGTGGCTCAAAGACCTTGGTGTGACTACGCCTATAATGGTGAGGGAGTTCGTCCGGCGCCGAATCGCTCCGCTTCAACGCCACTCTCGGCCGATGTGGGATTTGCTCAGCAGCCAGGACCACATGAGACTTCAGGAGTCTGGGCTCCCCCTTAAGGTGCAGCGAACGGTGCTCGAGGTCTCGACGGGCATCCCGTTGCCAGACGACTTGCCGAGGAAGAGTTGTGTTTCGTACCGCTGCTCGAACAAGATGACATTCACGGAGCGGATGCCTCCTTCGACGAGTGGGGGCTGCGCCCAGTTGGCCTCGTGGGGCCCCGTGAGAACCCCATCGTCGTGGTCCCTCTCCTTGACGCTGGCGTCGAGCTCGCCCCAAGTGTGGGTGCAGGGGGGCGAGCACCGCCAGGGGCCGATAGTGAAGGTGTCGAGATGCTGATGCCGCACAGGGCTCCCGAGGCGTCGACCTCGAGGACTCGTGACCCTTGGCCCGAGGCGGCGGTTGCAGGGGCGACACAGCCCGCGTCTCCCGAGGCCAGGGCTCCTGAGGCCTCGGCAATTCACCGCGAGGCAGAGCTGGACAGCTCCCCTCAGCTTGGCGCTTCTGCGGCTACCCCACCGAGCACTTCTCCTGCTGCGCCTCATGTCGACCGCCATGTCCAGCGCTTCGGTCGGCTTTGCGTGGACTTTGAAGAACTCCGTAAGAGGAAGGGGTCCCCGAGCTGCGGCAGCGGCTCCTTTGCGCTGTTAAAACGGAGGAAGTATATCGCTATTGACGAGTAAGTACCTCATTTTGGTAATCCTCTGCGTGTTGCTTTCCTTCCTGACGATTGTCTCCTCAGGACCCCTTCTGCCAAGGCCGCGAAATCTCCTGAGAAGCAGCTCCCTCTCGGCCTGTTCCCTTGCCAGACTCGAGCGCCGCAGGCTCGTGCGCTGCCCACGGCGTGGGGTCAACCATGGGAGTTGGACCGTCATCAAGGTGTCTTGAGCTTGCGCCTTCGCTGTCTTTTCTTCGCGGCCTTGCTCGGAGCACAGCAAGCGTTCCAAGGGCTCCTCCCCTGGTAGCGAATGGTGGCTGGTTGGCTTCGATCCTGGGGTCTTCTATAGGCAGCGGGCCCCGTTTAGTTCGGGCCCCCCGCGAGGCCCAGCTGGCGCCTGGGGCAGCGCCAGCCCCCAGCCCCCTGCTGAGAGGGGACGCACCGCTCCAGGTGTCGCCCACAACCCCCGTGGCGGAGGACGAGATGGGCCGTGCGCTTGAGTTCGAGCACAGGCGTAGCATTGTTCGTCATGAGCTCTTCCAGGAGGCGATGGGCGCGATGAACCGACTCGGTGAAGAACTTGTGGGTGTCGACACGCGCCTTGAGTGTCCACACTATCCACGGAAGCAGCGGGATTCTAGCAGGGCTTCGCCAAGCGCTACTTGAGGAGGAAGATGTGTCACGGGAGGGAGAGGGAGGCGCTAGGGCTTAGTGTGCGGCTGCCCTCCCTCCCCTCCACTGTATATAGGGGCTAGGGGGCGCATGCCCCCTTGGAGATGCCATCTAGAGGGGGGCAGCGGCCCCTCGGGGGGCAACGGCCCCCTTAGGGTTTCCAACCATGGGGGCGCATGCCCCTCGGGGGGCAACGGCCCCCTAGGGTTTCCAACCCTAGGCGCCTTGGGCCCTTGGGTGGGGCGCACCAGCCCACCAGGGGCTGGTTCCCACGCCACTTTAGCCCATGGGGCCCTCCGGGATAGGTGGCCCCACCCGGTGGACCCCCGAGACCCTTCCGGTGGTCCCGGTACAATACCGGTGACCCCCGAAACTCTCCCGGTGGCCGAAACTGGACTTCCTATATATAAATCTTTACCTCCGGACCATTTCGGAACTCCTCGTGA